AACACGTACCCGCAGGGTCCTCGATTCCCAGCCTAGTGTCCCGGGGCTCAGGGGCCGCTGGGTGGGGCGACCTTACCTACAGCACTACACCGCAGCGTCTCTCCTACCACTTGGCGCCGCACCAGCCTTCCCTTGGCATCATTCATTGGTGAGTCCTCGGAAGCGTGGACCAATCAAAACTCTCCTCGTGTCTCCAGCCTCCTCCCCAGCTGCCGCTCTGAAAGCTGGGGGCGGGTGTCCTCCATGTCGACCCAATGGCAGTGCGGGCGGAGAGCCGTGCTGGCTGGCGATTGGCTGCTTCTAGTGCCTCTGTCAGAGCTGGATTGGCCGGTGGCGGAGACGGAAGCGTCCCATGGGCCCGAGCTGCCGGAGCTCGGCTGGGGCGATGTGGAGCGCGGGCCACGGCCGAGCTGCCGGACCGGCGCTTGTAGGGCTGCTGCTGACGCTCTTGGTGCCGGGCAGCTGTGCAGCCAAGACCGGCGCGGGGCTCGTGACCTGCGGGTCGGTGCTGAAGCTGTTCAACACGCAGCACAGGGTGCGGCTGCACTCGCACGACATCAAATACGGATCCGGTGCGCAGGGGCCCGGGAATTGGGCATCGTCAGGGGGCGGAGCCCGGGGCTGCGAGTCTGAAGGTGGGGTGGTCATGGGGAGTCTGCAGAGCCACGGGTCTGGGAGTCACCAGGGAGCCTCACTGGCCGCCTGGAGTTCCTAGGGGTCCAGGACCGGCGGTTTTAGGAGGGTCGTTGGGATATCAGGGGCGAGGAGGGTCGTCCGGGAGCTGCAGGTCTAAAGACTTGGGAGTTAAGCTAGGACCCCCGTGGAAGTTGGGGTCCTAGGGTTGAGGTTGTCGGGAAAGTTTATGGTGTCCGGGTCAAGGATAGGGAGTGCAGAGACTGACTGGACCTCGCCGTGGGGTGGGGTGTCTCCCCTCAGGCAGCGGCCAACAGTCGGTGACTGGCGTGGAGTCGTCTGACGACGCCAATAGCTACTGGCGGATCCGCGGCGGCTCGGAGGGTGGGTGCCCGCGCGGCTCCCCGGTGCGCTGTGGCCAGGCGGTTCGGCTCACGCACGTGCTCACCGGCAAGAACCTACACACGCACCACTTTCCCTCGCCGCTGTCCAATAACCAGGTGAGCGCCGGACCGGGAAAGCCTACTTGTGCGGGAGGCGCGGGTGGGGGTGGAGTGCAGGGACAGAATCTAGACTCCTCCTCTCAGTGGCTCTCAGCCTCAGCTTCCTCTGTGAAATGGGCATTTCAATTAAAAAGTGTTTACTGAGCACTACCTCTGCAGGCGACTGACAGGAAGAAAGATCCGGCTGGATAGCTTACTCTTCTGGGGGTGAGTTAGACCCGGGAAGGGGATCCACAAGGCCTTTGGGATGGGGAACATGAAACCCGGCCGGGGATGAGGAACTTAGGCCGGGTCTGGAAGGATGAGTAGGAGTTCTCTAGGCCACAGAAGGGAGACTAGGCGCTTTGCAGGCCAAGGGAAGAGCTTGTGTTCCAATGGAATTCATTGGAACTTGGGGAAGGAGAGGTAGAGGGGTGGAGCTGGGGTTGGAGGGGGTTGTGGGGTTAGGGACTGAATGGGGAAGAACAGAGTGTGCTTGGGGACTTGTCAGAAGAAAAAGTATGACATAGAGCCTTGTTGGACTGAGGGGCTGGACATGCTGAGTGAGTCTCAGAGAGGTAAGGAAGGGGAACATGGAGAGAGGAGGAGACTCTAGCTATGTGGGGGCCGGTAATCACCGCCCAGACAGATGGGGTAGGGTGGGCATGTATTTGAAGAGCCCATGCTGGGGAGAGCCTGCTGGGTGCTGGGGGTGGCAGTTGTAGTGTCCCATTTTGCAGCTGTGGAAGCTGAGGCTAAGAAAGGTACAGGGAAGGACCCAAGGCCCAGTGTCCTGGGTGCGAGTGCTGGCGCCAGGCAAGTGACCACAGGGGACTCTGCGTGCCTTCTGTGGTGAACACTGTCCATCTGCCCCCTGCACCCATAGGAGGTGAGCGCCTTTGGGGAAGACGGTGAGGGTGACGACCTGGACCTGTGGACCGTGCGCTGCTCAGGGCAGCACTGGGAGCGAGAGGCCGCCGTGCGCTTCCAGCACGTGGGCACCTCCGTGTTCCTGTCGGTCACCGGGGAGCAGTACGGGAGCCCCATCCGTGGGCAGCACGAAGTGCATGGTATGTCCAGTGCCAATACACACAATACGTGGAAGGCCATGGAAGGCATCTTCATCAAACCCAGTGTGGATCCCTCTACAGGTCACGATGAACTCTGAGTGCCATGGAGGGGTGGATGGAGGGCAGAAGGGTGGGGCATCTACAGGACCACTCTTGGTGGAGACTTTGGGTTTTTAGGGGTTCTCAAGTGCCTTTGTGATTAAAGAATGTTAGTCTGTGATTGTGTTTTGCTGTGAGCCTGGGGGTGGCCAGGAGGTGCCCACCCTCCCTGACCTGGTTGACTGTCTCTTCCCTAGTGCAAGACCCCTTGTTTCCAGCACGGAATGACAGCTAAACCTGTCCAAACCTTGATGCTCTTTCGTGTACTCCAGCACTACCCAGGGCCGTCACAACACCCCTTTTCATCCTTACATGGTCTAGTGGCAAGTGACCCCAGTTCCCTAGCCCCTGAGCTTCATGAACCTTCTTGTTCAGGGCTGTGGCCAGGGCCAGGGTGTCAGCAGGATAAACAGGAGGCCCACTCCCTGCCAGCTAGAATGAAGCACAAGTTCTCCAGCACCCTCAACCCTTGAGGCGGGTCCCTTTTCTCCTGGCACCTCTACTCTAGCATTTGTGGCAGTCTTGACATTGGTCTTCCATCCAACACCAGGCCAAGACTCTGCCCATCTATTGGAAATTAACATCACAAGTTCCCTCACTGTTGGTGCAAATGGCACCCCTCACACCCTAGCCTCCCTTGGTATGTGGGCATCTCTAGCTCCCACTACAACCTTCCAGGGCCCCAAGGAGATTACAAAACATCAAAAGATATTGCAAGGGAAAGTAACCACAAAGAACTGCTACCTGCAGATATCTGAGAGGGCTTCCTGGAAGGACAGGCACAATCTGGGTAGGCAGAACACTGTAACTTAAAGGCAGGAACAATAAATAGGAGGGCCCTAGTGAAGGGAACAGTTAGTTTTGCTGGTGTATAGGTGACCTCTAGACGTCATGGTGGAGACTATGGGCTTCCTGGATTTGCTAACTTGGCCCAGATGTGGCTGTTTATATAGGAGGGGAGGGGTTTAAGGGAGCTGCTGGGGGTAGAGAGTGCCCCTTTTCCTGAATGAGGTAGCAACTGGTTGGAAGGGGCTTGGAGGAGTGTGGGCAGAGGTAAGAAATCTGGCGTTTCGGAGGTGGGAGAATAGCTCTAGCCAATTGTGAGGCTTGAGGGGAGGAGGGTCACAGGTAGGCCCTGGACTATTACTTCCCCACCCTCCCAACCCATGGGCTCCTGCTCTGGTCAAACACAGAGCTCCTGACCCCTCCACTGCCAAACCTCTCAAACATTGTCTACAGGTTTAACCTCCTCTCTCATCACTCACCTGACCTGTGACAGGATTGGAGTACAAACTAGATTAATAGCAGAATCAGACAGTGCACAGCACGTAGGAATCCTTGGAGGACCAAGGCTGAAGCTGTGGGAGCATATAAGATAGTTGCAGACAAAATGCAGGACAAGACCAAAAATTAAGTTGTGGTAGCAGCAGAGCACTCATTTATTGAACACTAAGTGTCAGGCGCTGGGCCAACGATTTACACAGCATCTCATTTGCTGCTGAAATAACCCTTGAAGCAGGCTCAATTATCATCTTAATTTTGCAGAGGAGGCAGCAGGTTGGTAAAGATTAAAATTTAGCTCTGCCTGCCTCAAAAACATTTGCCCTCAGCAGGGGCGCCTGGGTGGCTTAGTCGGTTAAGCGTCCGACTTTCGCTTAGGTCATGATCTCGCGGTTCGTGGGTTCGAGCCCCGCGTCAGGCTCTGTGCTGACTGCCAGCTCAGAGCCTGGAGCCTGTTTCAGTCTGTGACTCCCTCTCTCTCTGACGCTCCCCTGCTCACGCTGTCTCTCTCTCTCCTAGAAAAAAAAAAAAAAAAAATAAAAAAAAACAAAAAAAAAAACATTTGCCCTCAGCCATTGGACTCAGGGGTGGGGGTGTGGGGTGTGGGAAGGAACAGATACAATGTAGCCTAAGAATTCCGTCCCCCCCCCCCCGCCTTACACACATACACACTGCAGCTGTGTGAGGGCCAATGTTTATATCCTTATGGGTCATCAGCCCCAGGTAGGCACTTCATGAATGCTTATCCACAAAATGGACCCAAGCCGACACCCACTTCCCCGTACCTCCCACAGATCCACAAGTTCCCCGGGCTCCAGGAGCGGATCTCCGAATCTCAGACCTAACCGGGTCGCTTCAGGCAAACCCCACTCTGGTCAAGCAGGACGATGAGGTGGCGTTGGGCGGGGAAGGGAGTTAACCCACCCGGGAAATCCAACGCAGCCGAGTATCAGGTCCGGGAGGCACAAGGAATGATGTGAGCACGCAAAAAGAAACAGCCTGCGGCCCTACTCCACACCAGGCTAGAAAGAGGTTTCAGGGCTTTAGGATTCCTAGGATCGCAGCCCTCTACCCAGTGAGCTCAGCTGCGCGGACGGCGCCCCCCTCAGGGCTTCTAAGAGCTGCTCGCGGGCGCCCCTCCTAAACTCGCGGAGACAGGAGCCGAGAAAAGGCGGGCAAAATTCCTTTTGATAAGTTATGAATGAGGAGAAAGTGTTTGTAGTACTCATTGTTAAAACCACGGAGCCAGGGACTTGGCCCGCGCCTGGCCAATCCGGGCCCGGAGGCTATTTTGAAATCGCTCTGGTCTTAGCCAATAGGCGTGCGGGAAGCGAAGCCCCCGCGCCGGCTCCGGCCAATGAGCGTGGCGTTATGCTAAGAAGCCGGGGGCCGGCCCCGCCGACTGTCAGCGGGTTAAAGATGGAGCCGGTGAGCAAGAGGGCGCCACGAGGTGCGGGGTCGTCCTGATGGGGAGGACACGGGCGAACAACCGCTAGGACCTTTCTCCCCCTAACCTTCTGCGTCCTGTCCCGGCCTGGTTCGAAAGGTGTGTCCCGCCGCGTGAGTAGCAAGGTCCGAGGTGGAGGGCACAGGCACGGCGGCCCTACCCTGTGGGACTGTGCGGAGGGGCGCAGCCCGGATCCCTGGCGCCTTCTCTCCCTGCGGGGGACTCCAGAAGGGCGGGATGCCCCCTCGTTCTTTTGCTTCGCTCTGGGCCGCCAGGCAGAGAATCTTTAGGACTGAACACGGAGTGGAGTTGGGGCTAGGGGCCAGGGATGGGGGCGTGAGCCGGCAGGGGCGCGTGGTTCCGAATGGGGCCACCCTCCTTCTCTTGGAGCCGTGGGTCGAGTGAGGGCGTAGGGTCGTCGGGGTGTACCCACCCTCGCTCCGTGCGTGAGTGGGCTTCAGACTCCGGTGGAGCGCGGGCCCCTCTCCTTTGTGTGTTCGCCCCCTCCCCCCGTCCGCTCCCGCTCCTGGGTTGGAGCTACCCCTCAGTCTGGGGTTTCTCCCGCACCGCAATGTGGAGCGTACTGGGGAAAGTCCCGGACCTTCTGACTATCTCCAGGACAGCAGCCCTGCTGAAATTCTCCACTTCTCCCTGAGGTCTTGGACAGGGCTTCCAGCCCCACCCACCCACGGTTGAGCTTCCCGCCCTGCGCTTATTGGGGACCATGGGGGTCCCCCCTGCTGGCCCCAGGTGCTCTGACGAGGTTGCACTACTGTGCTCTGAGAAGCAGTGCAATGATATTGTCAAAGCATCTGGGACCAGCCTTGGGGACCCCCCCCCTTCCCCACACCACTCTCCTTTCCTCAGGCGGGGTCCCTTGGGCCTGCAGGCCCTCCCCTCCCCCCTCCCCAGCTCGCTCCCTTCTCCACGGAAACTTGAGATCCTGGCCAGGCCTGGGCCTCTGGGGTCAGAGGGCACCCTTCCCCCCATGGCTCGGGGGCCCCACCCCAGTGGGCCTTCATTCCAGATCTCAGATCCTCACCGACCACCACCGGGAGAGGCGCCAGAGGCGCCGGCAGGCCTGCCTGACACTCTTTCCCTGTTGCACTACTGTGGGCCGCTGGGAAGCAGTGCAATGATGAAAGGGCATCGGTCAGGCCCAGTCCACCACCCACAGCGCCTGAGAGGAGCGAGTTTTGCTGCCTCCTCCACTTCCTAGCAGGAGCAGGTGTGGAACTGGACTGGACCCTCCATCAGACGATTAGGTGAGTGCAGAACTTGGAGATCATCCCACAAATTCCTCTGGGTATGACTGGACAGGAGCAGGGGCAGAGGCCCTGGGGTCAGAAAAGTTTTGGTTTGAAGAGGATCTTTCCACGCCAACTCCCTGGGTAAGACTGGGGACTCCAGGTTTGGCCATGGCCTTGTGGACAAATGGAAACATGCTGTATTACATGAAAGGTATGCTAGGGTCTGACTCAGGCCCAGCTCAACCTTGACCATGTGCAAGTGAACAGCACCCAGGCCTCCCAGAGGGCTTGGGGAGGGTCAGGCTCTGGAGAGAACGTTCTCCTGGGATCTAGAAGCAGCACTATCTGGGCTGGGTGGGTGGACTTGGTATATGAAGCCTACAGGTGATGCCCATCAACCATGCCAGCTTGTTTTCTTACAGGGTGGTGTGCTGCCCTGAGACTGCAAGAGGGACCGAGAAGCGTGGCATGTCCATCCTAACAGCTACAATTAGGGGGACTGACTGCCAAGGAGCCAGGCCCCAGGCCCCAGTCTCATTTCAAGTTACACAGGGTGCAGGGGCAGCTCCACCATCAGGACCTGACACAATGCAAAAGGCTTTTATGTGCCCAGTGACAGTCATTCAAGCCTGTCTCCTTTAAGAGGAGCCCTAGGTTTCCAGATGGGCCTTTGGGAATACCTCTCACTTCTGGCTGAGCACATCAAGATGCCAGGCACCCATGCTTGGAAGTAGCCATTCTTCTGTGTAGATTCTGGCTGGAGACTCATACAGCTGTCTCTGGCCCTTGCTGGGAGATGTTTGTGAACTCAGGGCTCTGCTCAAATGTTCCCTCCTAGGGGAAGCTTGTCCTGGGCTCCACAGCATCCAATATTCCTCCAGCAGAGCCTGTTAGATTGAAATTTCTCCATGTGGCTGAAGTCCTCACTAGACCCTGAGGGCAGGGACAACATCCCTTTTTATATATCTCTTGGCAGTGCCTGGCACAGAGGAGGGCACTGATACAACTTTAGAAAAACTACAAATAAGCACATAAAGTGTTAAATATTATTAGCGTAACATGGGGGGAGGATTGATTAGGGGTTGGCTTGACCCCTCAGAGGATCCTTGTGCTGTTTATAAAAAGGCACACACTGTATATTTCAAAGTAAAGTCTCATTTCAAGTTACACGGGGTCAGGAAGCAGGATGAAGATTTGAACCTAGGTATATCTAAGTCTGCTGGCCCCCCTAGGGTAGAACGTTTTTCCTTCTTGGTTGTTTCCATCTTGCTCTCCGACCTCAAAGCAGGAGGAAGTGAGGGCCATTTCCTATGTTGGGGACAGCAGAACCCAGAGGGTTGGTGGCTTGGGGGTGGGAGGTGAAAAATCTCTAGACTTACCAGGTACACCCCATGGATTGTTGGGGTTGAGGAGGTGACAGGAAGGAAGCAATCCAGGGTGCACTCTTGTTAGTGGCTGGGGTGGGTGGTGGTGTCATTGCTGATCAACTAGGAGAGGGAGAAGAGAAGCGGGTTTGGGCTTAGGAGGGAAGAAGCTGTATGCCAATCTGGATGTGTTCACCATGAGATGCCCAAAAAACTTCCCCAGGGAACACTTGGCTGTGGTTCTGGAACTCAAGAAAGGTTTGGGCCTGAGACGTAGGTTAGAGTTAGTTAAGTCAGCCCTGAGCCGGAACCTCGGAGTGGGTAAGATTGTCCAAGATGGTACCATGAAGACAGAACCTTCTGAAACCCATGTGAAGAGGCACCAGCAAGTATTGGGTTATACAGGGGAAGAGAGAAGATAAAGCTGCGGAGGGGTGGGTGGATTTGATGGAGAGTAAATCAGAAGTGGAAGAGTGAAGTCTGGGGCAGAGGAATTAGGGGCTGAGTGAAGTCCTTGGAGTGTTGTCTACATACAGATCGCGAGGAGGGTACGCTGTCGGAATGAGGAGGAGTGAGGGCCTAAAAACTTTGAAGAGTTCGGGGGTTGACCATATTCTCTGCGTATCTATGGCCCGCTTCCTCAACAAGCCTTGCGGGACCTTAGCAGGACCGGGGTTCCGCCGCGCACGCGGGCTTTCGCCCCGTCGAAGGCGCCAGAGCGCATGCCCAGAGAGCCGGGCATTGTCACGTGCGTCCCCCTCGCGCGGATTGGCCCCTCCCCCCAGAGAGCTCCAGGCGGATTGGCTAGGGTGGTCGGGGCGGTGGCTGCGGCACGCGGACGGAGGCTGCGTCGGCGCGGCAGCTGAGGGCAAGAGAGCAGGTGGGTCCCAGCGGCCCCCGCCCCCACAGGCCCCGGCCCGCCCACTGCGACCAGCCCTCGGGAGCTGCCCGTCTCCGGGCCGGAGGCGGGTGGGGGTCGGTGTGCCAGGAGCCTTGGTGGCCCCGCCCCGACGGCCGCTCCGCCCCCAGGCCGCCCGGGCCAGCCCGCAGCCCCTCTCAGATGGAGGTCCTGGACGAGTTCGACAGCGAGTTCCCCCAGAGCGTGACCTTCTGCCAGCTCATCTCCGAAGAGGACTTCGAGAGGCAGGCGGCCACCTACACGGAGCGCGCCCTGCGCCGCCTCTTCCGTAGCATCGACCGCAACCCCGCGCTGGCCGAGAGGGTGGTGCGCAAGGGCAAGCTGGCCGAGTACGAGGGGCGCGGGCTCCTCTCCTTCCTCTGGGTGCGAGCCGGCCGGCGGGGCTTCGGGGGGATGGGGTGGGGAAAGCAGGGGAGGGTGGAGCCGCCGCTCCTGCTTGCCATCCTTTGGGGGCGGAGCCCTGAAGGCAGAAGGTGGGGGCGGGGGCGGGGGTGGGGAGGGCGCCTTCGCGCCTAGCTGGAGCTGCAGGGTAGGGTCTTCCTGGAGGCCCAGCGTGGGGAGTGAGGTAGGCGGCCGTCTCACCCCTCCTGCGTCTTGCTGCCCTGCCTCTCCCCTTGTAGGCGAAGCTCTTCTGTGCAGTCCAGGGCGAGCTGAATTGTTGTAACAGCATGGGTGCCCTGGAGATGCACCAGCGCCTGGAGCAGCTCAAGAGGAGCATCCACCGCGTGCATCTCTACTCCCAGGGTGAGGCTCCACCTCTGCCAGGCTCCATTCACCCAGCAAACCTGACTCAGGATCCCCTATCCGTGGTCCTGTGCTTGGCACGTTTTCGAGTGTTTGGTGTTTATTTTTTAAGTCTTTATTCTGCAAACGCACATACACAAAACTGGAGACTGCAGTAAACACTCAGGTACCAGTCTCCCTTCAGCTTCTGCAAGCATCTTGCCATGCTTGCTCCCTCCCCCTTTTCTTTTTCTGGAGCATTTTAGGGGAAATCTCAGACATCATTATATTCTTCAATACTTTAGAACTCTTTTTTAGACATTAAAAAAACATTTTGTGGGGCATCTGGGTGACTCAGTCAATTAAGTTTCATCTTTAGTCCAGGTCATGATCTCACAGCTTATTGGTTTGAGTCCCGAGTCAGGCTCTGTGCTGACAGCTCAGAGCCTGGAGCCTGATTTGGATTCTGTGCCTTCCTCTCTCTCTGCCCCTCCCCTGCTCATGCCCTGTCTCTCAAAAATGAGTGAACATTAAAAAAAAATTTTTTTAAGAGACATTTTGTAATCACAGTGTTGCCCCGGATATAAAATTGACAACAGTTCAGTAATATTAGCTGATGTTTAGTTTACGTGTTAGGCCTCTGAGGTTCCTTTTCACTAGGATGGCTGTATACTTTGGGTCCACATTAAGATATTTGCGAGAGTGAAATGCAAGGGGCCACATTAATAACCACACAGGGATGGCAAATGAGGATAGTGGTCACATCTGTTGAAGCCCCTTTGAGATGGGATGCCCTCACCTTTGTCCCCCATGCCATCAACTTGAAGAACTGTGCTGTCCTTTGGGGTAATCCACTTAATGGGTTTATATCTGTTGTTACGGATCACTGTGTTTGTTTTATTCCCCTGTGCCTGTATTTTTTTTTTTAATTTTTAATTTTCTTTTTTGAGTTTATTTTGAGAGAGAGGGAGAGAGAGAGTGTGCAAGCGCACAAGCAGGGAAGGGGCAGAGAGAAGGAGAGACAGAGTCCCAAGCAGGCTCCATGTTGTCCGCACAGAGCCCAGTGTGGGGCTTGAACTCACAAACAGTGAGCTCATGACCTGATCCGAGATCAAGAATCTGATGCTTAACTGACTGTGCCACCCAGGTGGCCCATTCTACCTGTACTTATTGCACAGTCGTTCTAAAGTCTTGATTAGATTTGGGTTCATTTCTTTGGGTTGCATTTGTGTTCAGCTAGGGGTGGAGCTGCTTGCTTCATGGTGTTAGAAAGCCTGGCTTACCTGGGGGTCCCAGGTTGCATGATGGTGAGTGTAAGTCCTCCTCATCACCCTTTCATCCCGATCCATGGCATGTGTAGCTTCTACCCCAGCGTCCCAAGGTAGTGTGGATCCTGTTTATCCATGTTTTATGGGAGAGAACATAGAGGCCCAGGGAGGGTGGCCAACTATGTGACAACGATATCACATATTAAGTAGTAGAAGCTAGACTCGAATTCAGGCTTGGGTTGCTGTGAGGCTCAGGCTCTTAGCCTCCAGGTCAGTGCTCTTTGGTGGTGGTGATCATCATTCTAGATGAGCCGTTCTAATGGGTTGCACACACTTTGCTGGTGTCCTGTAACTGTGAACAGTAGAAATAGCCAGACTTGTTGAATACAGGAGGAAAACCTAACATGAAAAGAGAGAGGGGTAGGCCTGAGGGTCCTGCTTCTCAAAGATTCTGTCCCTGAGCCCACCTCTGTGAGACCTTGTACATATGGGTTTCCGTACAGAAAAAGGAGCCTTTGGACACCCCTAGGATGGCCCTGGGGCTGGGTGTAGTTGGTGAGCTTCCTCTCCAGAGCCTGGATACCCCCATGAAGGTGCTGGCAGCCTCAGGAGCTTTCCACAGTGTTGGGGGATGGGTGGCAGACTGACCTGCCTGTGACGAGCCAAGCCCTCCTTGGTATTGATACTCTGTCACTTCTCCTGAAATTCTGGCCTTGGAGTCAGACAGCTGGGGTATGGATCCTGCCTGTGCCTTGTACAGTTGGAGCTTCTAGTTCTACATGTAAGAGAGAGACAAAAGTACCCTTTCTCCGTGGGATGGTTGTGGGGCCAATGAGATGGTACACGTTGGCACCTGTCAGCAGTGACTCTAGGCATTATTATGTGGTCCCCTTTGGGGGAGAAACCTTGTGAAGACCCTACACCACTGTTTGGCTCCCACTCTATCCTGTTCTGGCCGTGGGGTAGGCACTCACTGGTCCCTTTTGTCACAGATGCCAAGAAGAAGAGAAGAAAGCCAAAACCGAAGAAACCAGAACCCATCCTCTTGCGAGACCGGTCCACCTCTCCATGCCTGCCACCGACCGTGCTGCCACCTCCACCACTGCCATCCACTGCTACTACCGTGGCCTCCATGGTGGCCTCAGCACCCCCTGTCTACCCTATGCCTAGGGTCTTTGGCCCCTTCCCTCCGCTGCCCAGCAAGTCGGTCAGTGAGTGCGTCCCCCACTCCATGTGGTCCCGGGAGGGGCAGCCTCTGCCCCTCTGCTCAGAACCACCCCAGTGGTTCTCCTGGGGCCCACAGCAGTGGCTCTTACAACTTTGTTTTTAAGCAGCAGAACTCTATCTGCAGGCAATATCTTGGGTGGGATGGTGACGGCTACAGCAGATGAAAGGGGTCTGCTCTTGTTGAAGCATTGGAGGCACAGAGGTTTACCGGCTCTGCCTCAGTTGAGCAAGGCAGTCCCCAAAACACTGGGCAGAATTCTGCGGTGCGCAGGGGACAGGTGGAGAACCATGGCTGCCCCCTAATGTCTCCAGCCTCACGCCTGCCTCGCCTCGTGGGTGGTGTTCTCCTTGCCACTCTCTGGGTGCCTCTGCAGTGTGCCTTCCTATCTGCCTGCCCCTGCTGATCCCCGCTTATCCCACACTCTCACTCCAGGCAGACCCCCATCCCTGGTCAGCTCCCGGCCCCCATCCCATCCCCTGTCCCCCTAACGCCAAGCTCGAGATGGGTACTGAGGATGATCCTGACGTATTTGCCAAATGAAGGACAGTCACATACTTCTCCTAGTTCCTGTACAAGTGTTTTGCTTCTCAGCGAGGCCCCCAAACTTGTCCTAAGATTTCCTTTCTGTACTGCAGATGGAGAAGGTGGACATTACAAGGTCCGAAGTGAAATTAAACTGGGCCGGCCTGTCATCGAACCCAAAGAGGTGGAAGGAATTTAAGCTTGGGGCAAATGAAAAGGGAATGTTTTGGGGAGCTTTTTGTGTGCCAACAGTCGGTTGCCATTTCTTCCCTATCTTGTTAATCCTCACTGCAATCCTGAGGGGTTGTTATTCCCATTGTATAGGGAAGGAATCGAAGCTCAGGGGTCTGCTCTGTGAAGGGAAGCCCCTGTGCCCATATCCTGCACGTGCATATGGAGGCTGGGGAGGGCCTGCCTGGGAGGAGCCCGGGGCTGATGTTCCCCTCTCTGCCCTGTCTTGCAGCCACATGGTTGATCTGACCCCTTTGGTCCTCAACCCCGGAGGCTTTCATTTCTCGTACCTGGCTGGAAACCGTGCACACCAGCTCCATTGCTCTGGCTACCCCTGGTAAGCATGCTTCTGAGCCTCTCCAGGGCCGGACACCGTTCTGGCTTGCCTGACTTGATGGCATCATGGCAGTGTGCACAGGGGCCAGAAAAACGTTTATATTTCGTGAAAGGACCCTAGTGTAACAGGGTGCCAGAAAAGTCACTCTCCCTTCCTAGCGTTTGTAATGGCAAGAATCAGAAACAAGCAGCTCAGAGACCCACTGGAAACAATCCTGTCAACTGGGCAGCCCTAAGGTTTATAGACATGTGTCTTGCAAAGCAGGGATTTACTGAATACGGTTGGTTGTTTTGTTTTGTTTTTAAATATTTTTAATGTTTTCTTTACTTCTGAGAGACAGAGAGAGACAGCGTTAGCAGGGGAGGGTCAGAGAGAGGGAGACGCAGAATCTGAAACAGGCTCCAGGCTCTGAGCTAGCTGCCAGCACAGAGCCCGATACGGGGCTCGAACCCACGAACCATGAGATCATGACCTGAGCTGAAGTTGGACGCCTAACCAACTGAACCACCCAGGCGTCCCTGGTTGTTTGTTTTTTAATCACCTTTTGTTTCCACTTATGGTGGTGTTAAGTATTTCCCATGTCATTCCATGGAGTGTTGTTTCAAAGCATGTGTTTAAACTGGCTGCTTCATTGCTTCAGATGACTTAAAAAAAATACTGTTTTTCAGAGAAGTTTTAGATTCATAGCAAACTGACAAAGTACTGAGAGTTTCCATATGCCCCCTGCCCCTACAAAGGCACAGACACCCCCACTATCAACATTCCCCACCTTAAACTAATGTACCTACAGTACCACATCGTTATTGCCCAGAGGCCATACATTTGGGCTCACTTTTGGTGGTATACCTTCTATGGGTTTGGACAAATGTATAGTGACATGTATCCACCATTATAGGATCATACAGAATAGCCTTGCTGCCCTCAAAATCCTGTGTGCTCCAGCTCTTCATCCCTCCCTGTCCTCTAACCCCTGACAACCACTCATCTTTTTATTGTCTCCACAGTTTTGTCTTTTCCAGAATGTCACATACTTGGAATCCTACAGTATGTGGCCTTACCGGATTGGCTTCTTTTACTTAGTAATACTCACTTTTAAGGTTCCTCCATGTCTTTTCATGGCTTGATGGCTCCTTTCTTTTTAGCACCGAATAACATTCCATTGTCTGGATGGACTGGGGTTTATTTATCCATACACCTACTGAAAGACTGATTCCAAATTCTAGTGATTATGAATAAAGCTGCTATACACGTTGATGTGCAAGTGTTTTACGGACATATGTTTCCAGCTCTTTCGCCAAGGAGCATGATTGCTGGATCATATGGTGATAGTATGTTTAGTTTTGAAGAAACTACCAATGTGGCTGTACCATTGTGTGTTCCCGCTAGCAATGACTGAGAATTCAAATGGCTTCTTTCATAAGAAACCCACACAGTTCTGTAAACTGCAGACTGTGATGCTAAATTTAGTTGACAGAAAGTTTATCCAAGAAGACACCCAAAGAGTAAGCAAATCTTTAAAAATATTTTTGGCATCCTTAGTAATGAAAGAGGTACACATTAAGATTGCTAGCGTGTATGTTATATACCTGTCAAGAAGCCCAAGTAAAGAGAATCCTGTGCTATTGAGGCTGTAGGTAGAGACTTATTTCTGCTATGAAAATACTGTAATTTGGCTTTATTCTTTTTTTTTTTTTAAGATTTTATTTTTAAATAATCTCTACACCCAGTGTGGGGCTTGAACTCACAACCTGGAGATTAAGAGTTGCATACTCCACCTCTGTCCCCCTCTCTCGGCACCTCCCCTGCTTATGCTCTCTTTCAAAAATAAATACTGAAATTTTTTTTTAAATGTTTTATTTCTTTCTGAGAGAGAGAGAGACAGCATGAGCAGGGGAGGGTCAGAGAGAGAGGGAGACTCAGAATCTGTAGCAGACTCCAGGCTCTGAGCTAGCCGTTAGCACAGAGCCCAACGCAGGGCTTGAACCCACGAACCGTGATATCATGACCTGAGCCGAAGTCGGCTGCTAAACCGACTGAGCCACCCAGGCACCCCATAAATACTTAAATTTTTAAAAAATTGTTACTTTTTTTTTAGTTTATTTGTTTATTTTGAGGGAGAGGGAGAGAGAAAGAGAATCCCAGGCAGATTCTGCACTATCAGCCCAGAACCTGATGTGGAGCTCGAACCCACAAACCCTGAGGTCATGAACTTAGCTGAAATCAAGGTTTGTGTGCTTAGCTGACAGCCACCCATGTGCCCCTAAAAATTCTTTTAAAATTTTTTTAAATGTTGTATTTATTTATGAGAGAGAGACAGCATTAGCAGGGGAAGGTCAGAGAAAGAGGGAAACACAGAATCTGAAACAGGCTCCAGGCTCTGAGCTGTCAGCACAGAGCCCAACGTGGGGCTTGAACCCACGAACCGTGAGATCATGACCTGAGCCGAAGTCAGACGCTTCACTGACTGAGCCACCAGGTGCCCCTAAAAATCCTTTTATTGAGATAATTTACATAGCATCATATAAATTCACCCAGTTACAGTGTCAACTTCAGTGGCTTTTTGTATGTTTACATTTGTGAAACCATCACCATAATCCAATTTTAGAACATTTCCATTACATCAAAAAGAAGAGAATGAAAAGACTCTCATAGAATGAGAAAATATTTGTCAATCAACAGCAACAACAAAATCCCACTCCACAAAAATGAGCGAAGGACTTGAATAGACATTTCTTCCAAGAAGACCCACAAAATGGCCAATAAACACAGGAAAAGATGCTCCATCCTGAGACATCAGGAAAATGCAAATGAAAGCCACAGTGAGCTACCACTTCCCACCTACTAGGATGCCTTTCATCAAAAAGACAGACAAAAGGGGCACCTGGGTGGCTCTGTCGGTTAATCGTCCACTCTTATTTTGGCTCAGGTCATGATCTCAGGTTCTTGGGTTTGAACCCCAAGCTGCGCTGTGTGTTGACATTGTGGGGCCTGCTTGGGATTCTCTCTCTGCCCCTCCATGCCCTCAAAATAAGTAAACTTTAAAAGGTAAAAAATTTAAAAAGATAAAAAGTATTGATGAGCATGTGGAGACATTGGAATATCTAGCGTATGGCTGGTGGGAATGTAAAAGTGTGAAGCCATTGTGGATAAAGGGTATGGTGGTTCTTCAGAAAGCTAAACATAAGCATACCATATGACCGAGTAATTCCACTCCTAGGTATATGCCTGGGAGAATAGCAGTGGAGACTCAAACAGATACTTGTATATGAATGTTCATAGCTCCAGTAATGACAGTGGCCAAAAGAAGAAAATAAGCCAGGTGTACGCAAGATGAACAAAATGTGGTGTATCCATATAATATAGAATGTTGAAATAAGTGAGATAAGCCAGCACAAAGGAAGATTATTGTCTGGTTTCCATTACATGAAGTATCTAGAGTAGGCAGAGTTCTAAAGACAAAGCAGATGAGACGTTACCAGGGACTTGGAGAAGGACTAACTAACAACTAATTAGTTGTTGCCTAATTAGTACAGTTTCTGTTCAGGATGACAAAACAGTCCTGGAAATAGATAATGGTGATGGCCACACAACACTGTGAATGTGTCTAATGCCACTGAATGGTACACACAGAAACGGTTAAAATGGTAAATTTTGTGCATATTTTACTACAATTAAAAAAAAAAAAGATGGGGCACCCGGGTGGCTCAGTCAGTTAAGCGTCTGACTTCAGCTCAGGTCATGATCTCGTGGTTTGTGAGTTTGAGCCCTGCATCAGGCTCTGTGCTGACAGCTCAGAGTCAGGAGCCACCTTCAGATTCTGTGTCTCCCCCTCTCTCTGCCCCTCACACTATCTCTCTTTCCCTCAAAATAAATAAACATAAAAAAAAAAAAAAAAAAACCTAGCACCACTTAGCTGTCACTCCCAGTTCCTCTCTTCCCCAGCCCAAGGCAACCGGTAACCTACTTTCTCTGTGGATTGCCTATTTGGGTCATTTCATATAAATGAAACCATACAATAACCTGGTGTCTGGTGACTGGCTGCTTTCACTTAGCATAACATTTACAAGGTTCATCCATGTTCTAGCATGTGTCAGTACTGAATTTCCTGTTTTTTAAATTGCTTTTTTAAGACTTAATTTTTTTAGAGCAGTTTTAGGTTCACAACAAAATTGAGAAGAAGTTACAGAAGTTTCCTTCATGTCCCCTGCCCCTACACGTGCATACCCCCCTTATTGCCAGTATCCCCCACCAGAGTTTGTTAACAACTGAGGAGCCTACATTGACACATCAGCATCACCCAAAAGTCCATAGTTTACACTGGAGTTCCCTTTTGGTGTTGTACATTCTCTGTGTTGATTTATTTTATGGTTGAACAGTATTCTACTGTGTAGATATGCCATATTTTGTCTGTCAATTCACGAGTTGATAGACATTTAGGTTGTTTCCATTTTTTGGCTTTTATGAATAATACTGTCATGAACATTTCTGTGAGGACACTATTTTTTAATTTTTATTTGTTTTCATTTTTTAATTTTTTAAACATTTTTTAACATTTTATTTATTTCTGAGAGAGAGAGAGAGAGAGACAGTGTGATCAAGGGAGGGTCAGAGAGAGGGAGATACAGAATATGAAGCAGGCTCCAGGCTCTGAGCTAGCTGTCAGCACAGAACCCGGCACGGGGCTCAAACCCACGAATCGTGAGATCATGACCTGAGCCAAAGTCGAATGCTTAACCAACTGAGCCACCCAGGCGCCCCTTTTTTAAACATTTTTAAAATTTATTATTGAGAGACAGAGCATGAGCATGGGAGGGGCAGAGAGAGGGGGAGACACAGAATCTGAAGGTGGCTCTAGGCTCTGAGCTGTCAGAGCACAGAGCCCAATGCGGGACTCAAACTCACAAACCACGAGATCATGACCGAAGCCAAAGTTGGACGCTTAACTGACTGAGCCACCCAGGTGCCCCTTTATTTTTTTATTTTATATATTTTTATTTTTGAGAAAGATAGAGTGCAAGCAGTGAAGGGGCAGAGAGAGAAGAGTCTCAAGCAGGCTCTGTGCAGAGTCAAAGTGGGGCTCGAACTCACAAAACTGAGGTCATGACCTGAGCCGAAATCAAGAGTTGAATGTTTAACCAACTGAACCACCCAGGCGCCCCTTCTTGGGTATAGTCTTAAGCATGGGATTGCTAGGTCATATGGCAAATATATTTTGAGGAACTGCCAAAGATGCCAAGTCCGTTATCAGATGTAGGATCTGCAAATATTTCCTCCCATTATGTGGGTTATCTTCTTTCTTTATCTGTAGCGTCTTGTCTTTTGAATCACAAAAGCTTAAGGTTAGTCTTTTTGAAAGGCAATTTATCAAAATATATCAGGAGCCATAGACATTCTCATAGTCTTTGCTCTGGTATTTTTAATTCTGGGAATTGGCCTCAAGAAGATGATTAAGGGAAAGAACAAAACGATTGTGTACAGAAGTGTTTATGACAATGCCATTTAAAAGGAGAAAAAGTAGAAGCAGCTTAAGTGTGCATCCACAGAATTATGGAATATGCAGACATAAAATTGTGAACATGGTTAAACCTGATTATGTAGATTCATGAATTATGTGTAAGTGGAAGCAATAAGGCTATCCAATCAGACCATCCTACCAGGAGGAAGAGATGGAAGATGACCTACTGCAGGGTGATGGAGAAGGGATTGTGGGCAAACACTTGTGCAGTGTTGTTATGAGGCAAAATGTAGAAGCAAGGCATTGTTGGCATCATCCGTTCCTCACAGAATTGTGGGGCCATGCACCGGGGCTGGGCCATCATCAGGGCTTAAACAGCTGCAGAACAGTCCGCTGCATGGCATCCATGGTTCCTTTAGGCACTCCCTGATGGATGTTTGATTGTTTCCAGGCTTTCATAATCACCAGCGTTGCTGTGATGAATAGCTTGGAACAAAACATCCATGGGAGAGCATTCTGGAAGTAGAAATGTATCCAAGGCCATCTCACAGCCTTAAGTTTTGTCATGTGTACTGATGGCTCTGTGCGCTGGTATCCCACCTCATGGACATGTCTTGGCTGTCTCCTGCACAGGACCTCGGCCTGTAGTGGCTCTCCCAACACCGAGAAGACACCATCCCCTCCTGTGAAGGCTTCCATCTTCGCCCCGCCTGTCTTGCTCAAGTTCCAGCCTGTGCCGAAACCCAAAGATGACTCTGAGAACGACCCTAGCAGCACTGAGTCTGTGCCCCACAAGAGGAGTCCCTAGCCTCTTTCCTATAGATCATGGCTAGAGCAATGAATAAAGTTCCCATGGAGGTGCCTTCCTTGTGCTGGGCTCCCTCAAGGCTGTGCAGTCCCTTGAGCTTCCTCCTGCAGGAAGAGGTTGAAGAGTAGTGCAAGCGAGAGGCCCTTTCGTCTGAGCCTGCATACAGTTATTGGTCAGGTCAGTGCGACTGTGAATTCCCCTTGCTTGTACTCTAACATGGGAACTCAGCCATGACACTTTGAAAGAGAAATGAGCAAGAAGACAGTGCTGCCCTTCTCTACAGTGACCCTGTGGCCCCTTTGAGCCTCACTTGACCTCACTGAATTGCAATTCTATCATTTTTTCCTACACCTGGGCCCTAAACTCAAACCTTATCTGGGTGCAGGTTTAGAAACAGTAATCTGTTCCCTCCCTGGAGGAAAATAAGCTGGCATGTTAGTTTCCAACTTGGCACCTCCCTAAGGAATTTCAGAGATGTGACTCTTATTGTTGCTTTACACACCAGCCTTAGAGTCAAACCTGCATGTGAGACATGAGTCCTCACAAAATGCTTAATGACTGCTGGATGGTAGCAGATATTTGCTGAACCCTTGGGTATGCCCCACACCTTGCTTGGGACTGGAGATAATAAATCAAGTGGTTGGTGTCCCTGCTCTTAAGGAGCTCACATCCTACCCTCATGTATGTGTGTGTGTGTGTGTGAGAGAGAGAGAGAGAGAGAGAGAGACTGTATGTGTAACCAGTGGATCAAATTAATAATAGGGTTATAGGTTGTGATAAGCCCTAAGGAAGGTGAGTTGGACATGTGTGCTGTGGGTGGTAGGGGAAGGTCTCTATGAGGAGGTGATATTTATGTTCAACTTAGAGAAGGAGGCAGTCATGAGATGAGAAAGGGCGAGGACAACTGGCTTTGGGTGACTAGATAGTGGTACAGTTGAGGAGAGGGGAGCCTAGGGGTGGGGGTGGGGGCGGTGGAGAATTCTGTTTTGATCAGTCGTGTTAAATTTGAGGTGAGTGGTACCTAAAATAGAGGTCAGGAATCTGGAGTGTTGGCCATTTAATGATGAGAGTCCAGAGATACAAGTGGTATTTAAAGCCACAGCCTGGGAAAGATAACCCGGTGCTTGGTGTAGACGGAAGCTCAGGGCTCAGGCTGGGGCACACTAACACAGTGATGTGGTCGAGAGAAGGACCCACAAGAAGAGATGAGTGAGGGCTTCGGCCTTTCGGGCTTAATGGCTACTTGCCCCTAAGCCTTCCAGGAGAGGGCCTGGAGGTGGTGTGGTCTGAATGGAAGAACGGATAGACAGCAAGTGTGGACGTGGCTTTGGAGACGTCTGCCGTGGAAGGAAAAAGAGATGAGGCCAAGGCCGGTGAGGCTTGAGGTTTCAGGTGGATTTTTTTAAAGACCTGAGAACCCAGGTCAAACCTGGACAGGCTTGAGCGGGGATGGCATGTAACCAGAGTTGCATGGGTAGGAGAAAAGGTTTAGAGAAAGCCTTCGCCGTCCGCCCGACGAAGAGGGCTTCAAGGCCCCCTCGGCCCCGCCAGGTGCAAACCCTACCGCGAACTCTGCCCCAAGTGCCCCAAAGACCCAGCCGCACCGGCTGGGCATGCGCACTGGACACCTGGCGCCACTGTTCCCTCACGCTTTGCGTCCGCTTCCGGGGCGGGTCCGCGGGACCCGGAAGTAGTTAAGGAACTCGGCCGAGAAGTCGGAATCTAAATTGTTTGGTGTCGTTTTTCTGCACTTGCTGGTCCAGGCACTGCCACCGCTGCCGCCGCCATGGGGAAACGGCAGCATCAGAAGGACAAGATGTAAGTTGAACCGCAGCCGGGAGCGGGGCCGCGCTGTGCCTCAGTGCCCACCTGTCCCGCCTTCCGGCCGCCCCTCTTCCCTCTCTCCGTGCTGGTTGCCAGAGCCACTCTTAAATGTCGCTTCGTCTTGGAAGCCCCTGTCTCCTCCCCAGGCGAGGGAATTACCCTCCAGCCGCCGAGGTCTCCCAGGCTTCTTGGTTCTAACATACCGTCGGTGCTGCTGAGCGCGGCTCCTCGGCTTCTCGACTTTTGCCCTGGAACGCCCCATCTCCAGTCTCGAATTCTACCCCTGAATCAGCCCCTCTCTCCTGCACCTCCAGTCTTCCCGTGTGCAAGTTCATCGGCTTACACACGTGCTCCGGAATCTTCTATTTTAAAACAAACCAGCCTTGCCCCGTGCTCCCCTCCTCCTGCCGCCGTGGTTTGTTGTTCTTTTCTCCTGAACAAGACGTCAAAGACCTGGGTCTACTTGCTGTTCTCTGCTGTTTCTTGAAACCACTCCAGGCAGGCTTTTCTCCCCAGCACTACACCTGTCAGGATCCCAGTAATTTCTCTTGCTAAATCTAGTGGTCAGTTCCCAATTCTCATTTTGTTGGGTTTGTCAACGACATATGACACAGTTGACCACCTTGCACCCCTGAACCCCTTCTTTGGTATCTGGGACCCCATATGCTCTTGCTTTTCCATCTGTCTCAGTGGCCTCTCTTTTTAGTCTCTTTTGCTGGGTCTTTCTCCCTCTCTCCCAGACTTCATACGCCCATGTCCCCCACTTTTCTTCTCCCTTTACATTCTCCCTGGTGATCTCTCATGTTGCAGTAGTCAGCCGCTTACTTGACTTCTCCAGTTGGATGTTTGATAAACATCTCACATTTACTTAAAATTTTTAAGTGTTTTTCTTTATTTTTGAGAAAGAGAGAGAGAGAGACAGACAGACAGACCCGGAAGACGAGTGGGAGAGGGGCAGAGAGAGAGGGAGACACAGTATCCAAAGCAGGATTCAGGCTCTGAGCTGTCAGCACAGAGACCTGTGTGGGGCTTCAACCCACAAATGGTGAGATCATGACCTGAGCCAAAGTCAGAGGCTCAACCGACTGAGCCACCCAGGTGCCCCGACATCCCACATTTGGTCTGCTCCCCCCTCATTTTCCCTATCTCATTGGTCATACTGCTACTTAGTTTACTCAGGTCAGAAGTCTGGGAGTTAGCTTTGGTGCCTCTCTCCTGAGGCTCTCTCCTCCCCCTGTACATCAGTAAATCCTGTGGCTCGTCCAGGAAGTGAGTGAGGGACATGGGGGCACTCACTAGTCCACCAAACTCAATAGGTGGAGTGTATGCTGTCTCCTCCTTTGACCTTTTTAGTTGCCTCCTGATTGGTTTTCTGTCACCTCTCTTGCTTGTCCCTCTATACACAGCTGCCCGAGTGATGCTTTGAGGACTTACATTAGATCATGTCAGGGCCCTACTCAGACCCCTCCAGCAGCTTTCCATACCGCGTAATGCAGATCCGCAGCCATTACATAGCTTCCGGGACCCCTCAAGATCCCGCCACCAGCCTTCTTCACCTGCTGCCACATGCGCCCCTGCACACCCTTCAGTTACTTCACCCTTTTCTGAAGACACACCAGCTTTTCCTGTGTCGGGGCGTTTATATGTGGTAAACTTGCTTTGTCCCTCTGCCTAGAAAGCTCTTCCTGCACATCTTCACACGGCCAGCTCCGTTGCATGAACAGGCTTCTGTTAAATTCTGTTCATTTCTTTCAGAGCAAAGTAAGACTGTTTGTATTTGCTTACTAGTTTGTGTATCCCCGTGTTGTGTCTGACACATAGTAGGTGTTTAATAAGCATTTGCTGAATGAGTGAAATGATTTAGTCATCAGTTATTTCCAGAGACTGTCCTCTTTATAAAGGCGGATGGTAATAAGATTCGCCCTTTTTCAGGTACATTACCTGTGCTGAATACACTCACTTCTATGGTGGCAAGAAACCAGGTAAGGCGTGAAATCCTTCTGTTTTCCTTGATGTGGATGTGTGTGTGTGTGTGTGGGGGGGGGGTTGTAATTAAGGGATGATGTCTTCACTACATAGAGACTGTAAAAACGAACAATGAACAAGAACACAAAGTGTAACAGACAAATGGGTTGAGAGCACAGATGATTCACAAGAGAGAAAATACACTAAACATGAGAAAATGTTTCATCTGGGTGATATTTTTTGATGTAGAGTAAACTAACACTGTTTTCTTTGTCAAGTTAGTAAATAACAAAAAGAATGCTAATACCCAAAGCTGTCAAGGCTGAAATAAAAAAGAGTGCACTCTCATAATTGCTGATGGGGGTAAAAGCAGCACAGCATTCTTGGAAAGCAAAGCCAAGCCCCACAGCAAGGGTATTAGGATTGTGGGAGAAATCCAACCCCAGCAGCTTGAACAAGTATGTCCTTTTTCCTCTAAGTTCTTTCTTTCTTTTTTTCTTTTCTTTTTTTTTTCTAGGAGAGAGAGAGAGAGAGACAGCGTGAGCAGGGGAGGGTCAGAGAGAGAGGGAGTCACAGACTGAAACAGGCTCCAGGGTCTGAGCTGGCAGTCAGCACAGAGCCCGACGCGGGGCTCGAACCCACGAACCGCGAGATCATGACCTAAGCGAAAGTCGGACGCTTAACCGACTAAGCCACCCAGGCGCCCCTAAGTTCTTTGTTTTCTTAAAAAAAAATTTTAAGTTTATTTATTTATGAGAGATAGAAACAGTATGAGTAGGGGAGGGACAGAGAGAGAGGGAGACACAGAATCCACGCCAGGGCTTTGAACTGCCATCCCACTAGGTACAAGTCCGCCTTCCTCCCCACTAGGCCACTGCGGCCCCTGGGAGACACAGAATCCAAAGCAGGCTCCAGGCTCCAAGCTGTCCGCACAGAGCCCGCCGCAGGGCTCAAACCCATGAACCCGGAGATCATGACCTGAGCCGAAGTCGGATGCTTAACCGACTGAGCACCCAGGCGCCCCCCTCTAAGTTCCTTCTTGACGTACTTCATGTGTCTTACCTATTGAAGGCTTTTTAATCTACGGCAGCTTTTGCACTAGGTAATTCACATGAACTTTTTCTTATTTATTTGTTTATTCTTTATTTATTTTTGAGAAAGAGCATGAACAGTGGAGGGGCAGAGAGAGAGGGAGAGACAGAATCCAAAGCAGGCTCTAGGCTCTCAGCTGTCAGCACAGAGCCCGCCACGGGGCTTGAACCCACG